GCGGATGCAAATAGACTTTTACAGGCTGACTACTGGCCTAAGGGTTCATTGGTCAAGGAGTTTTAACAAAAATTTGCCCCGAGACTCAAGCCTCAATTCGTACAATCACGCACTTTTTTAGGGAAAATGCAGCCCCGTCAAACTCAATCATAGGTTATGGGCCTGAAATCTTGCCTAGTACGGGAAAATCTGCTAGTAGCCTGCTTGTGTGTGCTATAAATGTGCAATCTATACGTAATAAAATTGCTGAACTTGAAATACTTTGCTGTCAACTGGACATTGATGTGCTTTGTGTGTCTGAACATTGGTTGTTAGAGGCAGAAACTGCATACTACTCTAGAATCAAAAGCCTTGACCTTGTATCTTGTTTTTGTCGAAAAACCCCTTGGGGAGTGTGTCAATTTATATTAATACTAAATGGAACTACTCTTTATTAGACTTAAGTGAGTACTGTGAAGAACTGCATGCAGAATTTACAGGTATAATCATCTCTAACTTGAATCTCATTGTTGTCACCATGTATCACTCGCCTAGTGGTAGTTTTGAACGCTTTTTTTATCTACTTGACATGTGTCTAGTTTATTTAACTTCCCTGGGGTTAGATATTATAATCGGCACTGACCACAATGTGAATATACTCAACCATCCAAGTGAGGCCAGTGATTTCAGGAACATTCTCCGCAGCCATGATATATTCTTCAGTGTCAATGAACCAACCCGTGGTCTATCTCCTTTAGACACTGTTCTTACCAATCTTGATAGCTGGAGATACATGGCCCATGTAAGTGTAGATCAGATATCTGACCACAAACATGTTTTTTTTAAACTAGATCTACCTGAAGGTGTATCCAAACATGGTCTGCAGGAACCTGACTACTTAAATAATCCTGTCAAAACTGTAACTTACAGACAATTTAATGAAAGTAACTACTGTTACTTTCAATGTGTATTGACTGATCTGGCAGTAAAGTGGCTCTCTGAAATAGAATCATTTAATGCTGAACAATCCTTTGACTATTTCTTTGATAAGTTCAGAAAAGTTTTTGACTATTGTTTTCCCTTAAGAAATAAAACCTGCAGGACTGTGCCTCCAGCCAAGGCAAATGCTGGGTGCAGTGTAAACAACTGGTACACACCTGAACTCTCTGCCTTTAAGAACTTTATCCTAGGTATCAGTGACTTATGCAAGAGTAACCCACAATTGCTGCCCTACCTCCATGATCTCAGGAAGCATTATCGTTTGAAGGTAAGGGAGGCGAAGCAATTTGCTACTGCTACTGCCATTGCTACATCTCCAAATGCATGCAAGGCTGCCTGGAACTACATCAATAGGCATAAAACCCCCACTACTGTTCCTGCTAAAGACTTTTGCACTGCTGATGAGTTTAATTCATATTTTCTTGATTCTGTTGATGAATTAATCCTCTCCTGTAAACCTGATCCATCTGTTCCTTATGATTGCCTTAATTCTGTTCCATTTGTTCCCACTAATTTTTCATGGACACCTGTTACTGTTGATAAGCTGCTTAGAGTAGTCAGTAGCTTTAAATCCTCTAAGAGTCAAGATTTTTATAACATGTCTGTTGAGCTTTTAAAAAGATGTATCTATGTAGTTGCGCCAATCATTGTAGATATTGTAAATAAATCTCTGAGAGAAGGAGTCTTTCCTGAGGCTCTGAAGATTAGTAGGACTGTACCTGTGTACAAAAAGGGACCAAAGGACAGTACTGTAAGTTACAGACCAATATCTATCATCCCCATCTTTGGTAAGGTGCTTGAAGCAGTCATTTTAGAGCAGCTGTACAGCTACTTTGAGAGGCATCGCCTTATTGTGCCCGCTCAATTTGGCTTCCAAAAAGGAAAGTCCACCGTTCAGGCTGTGGACTGTCTTGTTCAAGAAATCTTAAATGGTCTAGAGATTAGAAATTCTACTTCTGTTATAATGTGTGACCTATCCCGCGCTTTTGACTGTGTGTCACATAGTCTCCTGTTGTTAAAGCTCGAAAGGTACGGGGTACGAGGCGATGCTCTCTCATTGATTAAATCTTATCTTGAAGGGAGGTCTCAAGTTGTGACTTGGAATGGTAACTCTTCCAGTCCTCTGATGGTGAACAATGGAGTCCCGCAAGGGTCTATTATGGGTCCCTTCTTTTTTGTAATCTCAATCAATGACTTGTATCACAGTGTTGCAGGCAATGTCCTGCTATATGCAGATGATACAACTCTCTTTTCTAGTCACTCAGACTTTTCTGTATCTAATGTTGCTGTGCAGGAATTATTAGATGTAGCTTCTACCTGGTTTCGCAACAATAAATTATGCCTGAACCAAGCCAAAACTCAAAACATCACTTTCAGTCTTTCTAGGGAACTGAGGGAAGAAAACACTGTAAAGCTGCTGGGCTTCACCCTTGACCCTCAGCTTGATTGGAACGATCATATTGAAATCCTGTGTGGTAAGCTAAGTCGTGTAATCCATTTGCTCAGACGGTTGAAGGCTGACATGCCATTTGAATTTGTTCGACTTGCGTACTTTGCTTTTTTTCCATGCTCACATTCTGTATGGCACTAGGCTCTAGGGTCACTCCCCTGGAGTGCAAAAAGTCCTCAAACTACAGAAGAAAGCTGTCAGGGTCTTGTGTGGAGTCCATCAGCTTGAGCATTGTAAACCTCTGTTTGTTCAGCATGGTATAATGCCTGTACACAATGTATTTATTTACCAATGCCTGTTAGAGATTAAGAACAATGAATCAGCTTTTCCATTGGTTAATAATGTTCATCATTATAGCACTAGGAACAATGAAAATATTTTTATAGATAGAGTTAGACTAGATTTAATTCTCAACTGCTTTCCTGTTGTAGGAATAAGGTTCTACAATGCCTTACCCATAACTGTCAGACAACTCTTGCCGAACAAGTTTGCGACCACACTAAACGCTTGGATGCTTGCCAATCCATTTTATTCAATAAAAGAGTTTTGGAATGCACAGCTTGTAACTATTGGGTTGAACCCACAGTAGTCCAGTAGAGGTATTACAAAATTGTAAATTTATTTATTTTTCTCTGCCTTGCATGGCTTGCAGCATGTACTTTTCATTTTTTTTTTTATTTTTAGTTGCATGCATTGCTTTGCATGTTTTATATTGATTGAGATCCTGCATGTGTTTATTTCCGCTTTTAATTTAATTTTGTGAGTCAAGAATGCTAGAAGAAGCTTGGCATGTTATTTATTATTTATTGTATTGTTTGACGTAGCCTATTGTCTTGTATGAACTGAATGGCCAAATAAATCATTTGAATCATTTGAATCATTTGATTTGAATCTAACCGACAAATCAACGGAAACTTTAAACCGAAACATCAATATAACCTTCAACATGACTAAACTATATTGTACAGTAAACGAATTGGCTCTAAATGAAAAGAAAACTGTTCAGCTGAACTACTCTACTAAAAATAAAGACACAAACGTATTAATCCTTGGGATAGAAGCACAAAATAGTACCAAATATCTTGGCATTATCATGGATTCAAAACTGACATGGAAACAGCACATTGACCAACTCTGCAAGAAGCTACGCTCTGGCATTCATGTCATCAGGCGAATGAAGCAGGTTGGTGGTCTGGACACCGCAAAAACAGCCTACCATGCCCTGGTCGAGTCACACCTCAGGTATGGTCTGGTGGTCTGGGGAAGTACATCCAACAACTACCTAAAAAGAGTCCTTATCCAACAAAAAAGAGCTATAAGATGTCTAGCAGGCCTTCAATATCAAGAAAGCAGTCATGATGCATTTAAGGAACTAAAAATCCTCACACTGACATCACTTTACATCCGTGAGGCAATTCTCCATGCCATCTCCACAAATCAAACAAGAAACAGAGACATTCACCATCACAATACACGGAACGCCTCAAGCTTTGCAATACCACCTCACCATCTAAGTCTCTTTGAAAAGAAGCCATCCTACAAAGGGGCCCTGTATTTCAACAACCTACCAGAACAACTTAGAAATGAACCAACTCACCGTTTCAAGAACCAATTAACAACATGGCTGCAAGAAAGGCCATTCTACTCAGAAAAAGAATTCCTTGACAACCAGATTTAACAACATATTAAATCAACAAATTTTAATTATTATTCTGACGCATGTACTGTTCTCAACGAATATGTAAATAAAGATCATTGTCTATTGTCTATTGTTTCCGTTGACAAAGGGGATATTCAGATTAGTCACTATCGCAGATAGACCCCTTACAAGGATAAAGTTTCCGTAACTGCTGGAGACACAGATGATGTCCCCACAAGTTTTTTGTGATCCCAGAAGATGATGATGTCAACACAACCACTGGGGTGTTTAGAATTTTGATACAATCGCCGAAGGGCAAAGACGATGAATTTTCTTTAACCCTGGGATTATTTTTGAATTTTCCCACAACCAAGAAAGACTATTATAATGTTCCCTTGACTGCTGGAAATGTTCACTATTTTGCCAGGACCACGAAGGATTGCGATAAATTTTTCTGTGAGTCCGGAAAACAATCGTGATGTTTCCATGATCGTAGGGAATAAACATTTTTTGAGACAGAGGTGATCTCTACACGACCATGGCAAATAGTCACGATATTACTGCGATAACATTGCTACCCAAAGGCGATGACGCGGTCAGATTAAGTGAGGAGTTGAAGTAGCCGAGGTCGTATTAACAGGATTTTGTCCTAGAACAATCTTAAATTCTCTTTATGTCTAAAATTCTAATGTAATGTAATGTAATATCAAAATGTAATATACAATATAAATTATCCCTGTTCATATATTTCCTTCATTTAGTACTAAGATTAGCCTACATATATAAACGAGGAAGAGTACAAACTTTCAAGTGGTACTGAGATTCTTAATAAACAAAACAACAAAACCATATAATTTTCTTTATATGTATCGTCAATATCTAATAAAAATTGGATGAATAGATCCCTAAATAATTTGATAATAACCACATCACCTTAGCAAGGGCATCCTCAGGTCTGGTGAGATGGTCTGGTGACAGTCTGTTGCGAGGTTTGTTCTGTTTGCGAGTTGTTGTCATACCTGTACCTGAGCTGGGTGTGGGCGAACGTGTCGGTGGCTGCAGAATTGTAGTCGGCAGTCCTGACTATAACAAACATTATATTCATCGTCTGGAGCACTGTGGTCGGTAGTTCTGACTGCAACAGAAACTGCAGGAAGAGTTTAATACTTTAGGATGATTATTTTCCCTTAGATTAGGACCATTCATTATTGCATGTTCCTACAAGATGGTTTTAGCTTTTTGTCACTGTTTGGTAATTATTTTAAGTCCCTAGACTGGTGCTACCATACCCAACGTTATCTACTGCAAGTCGTCCCCACTCCGACCACTGGAGACGCTCCTCACTGGCAGACGTGTCTACCTATACCTTCGTCATTTTATTTAAACTTTCAATATCTAATATTTTTACAATTTTAACTTCATTTGTATCAATCTTAGGTTTCCAATTAATATAATAGTAATTTTAACCTCACCAGTGCTAATAATTTCCCCTGTTGTTGCCCCCCACCTCTACACTGCTGCTACCTACACTGCTTCCATCCCCTGGACTACCTTGGCCGAGATGGGCATCATACATCTTTGAGACCTCCAAAAAGGTAATGGTAGCACCGGAATTAAGCTTTTGTAATGTTCAAACTGCCGTTCGGCTTTCCGTTAAAGAACGTACATTCACATTACTGAATTATTTTAATGTAATGACAATGCTCAAGTGTGTGAAGTTTAAGGAACAAATCCAAGCTTAATGTGGAATGTATTAATTTAAAAAAAACCTCATTGGCCACAATAACGTCTTAATAGCCTAATGATAAAAGACAGCTGGAATCAGTTTCAACAAGCTGAACTGAAAAACTGAATGTCAACTTTTTGGCATTCCTAGGGGCGGAACGGAGATGGCAGAGTGCTCAAAAATAATTTTGATGGTGGTCCACTCTGCTTCTAGGAAAACACTTCTACTTAACTACTTTTAAAATCAAGACGAGAATGGGCTCTGTGCCTAGGAAAATAACCCAGATTAACAGGTGCTTCAAACTTCTCAGTAACTACCTAACCTTTAAATAGCTACGCGTTTTTCTCTCCCCCCCTCACTCTCTCTCCCTGATGATCCTAGTAGAGAGGGTACTAGGTGAGGGGGAGAGGTGTTGGTTAGGCACAGAATGTGCCTGGAAGGACAGATTGAAGCTGACAGCAGGAAGAGGAATCCGAAAATTTTTCAGGAAAGTGGCCTGGTGAATAAGTTTCTGACTTAAACCAGGGGTGGTGGTGGGACTGCTGGGCTTTGGCCAAACACCTCTCTATCTCTCTCTCTCTCTCTTCAACCTTTCAACTACCTAGATAAACTAGAACACACAGTGCGGAACACAGAGAAAATCAATGAATTATGACAACATTTCAGGTGGAGGGACAAAATTAGGTTTTTAAAGTAAGTATAATTGTCTTCTCACCTGAAATTAGTCACACCTTAAAATTTTGTCCAGATAGCCTAGCCTACAATTAAATGAGATAGTCCAGGACTCTAACGTGTTCATTAAGTAATTATTGTTTCCAGTTTATTGGCTCAGAATATTAGCTACAACAATGCTAACAATGTTTAGCTTTTTTCACTTGTGGGGTTGGGGTAATAGCCTACCCCTGGCTACTTCGGCCTGGAGACCTATTGTATCACCCCTTGAATCATTCTCACAGCCCTAGGCTTCTCAAGTAGCCCAGGAGCTGAAAGACGCCCAGCCTGTTCCTTATCTCTGTTGGTTCCAAAAATGACCTCCCCAGGGACGTAAGCCTTCTTTGGGCCAACGCTGGACAGTCCAGCCATAAGTGTTCTGAGGTTTCTGCCTCGTTCTCGCAGAACCTGCATTGGTCTGTCTGTGACCTACCTATAGTCCTGAGGTGTTTCCTGATAGGACCGTGTCCTGTTAACACTCCTACTAGTAGGCTAATGTCCCCCTTCTTAAGGCTCAGCAAGCCTTTCCAACCCTTCACAGTGGGGTCAATTAGTGTTTTCGACGTCCTCATTCCTGGGTAGTTCCTCCAGGCCAAAGCCTTTTGAGCCTTGACCCAGTCTCGGACTTTGGCTACTCCTGAGCTTATGTGGGTACCACAGTAGGGTTCTGGTCCTGACAGTTGGTCTTCCGTACCCTTCCTGGCCAATGTATCAGCTCTTTCGTTCCCCTCATGCCCCAAATGTCCAGGGACCCAAGACAGTTTGACTTGGTTCCACTCTGCTAGCATTTTAAGGGTGTTTTTGCACCCTTTTACTGTTCGTGACTCTGTCACACATGACCCCAGCGCCTTCAATGCTGCCTGGCTGTCAGAGAGAATAAGGATTTTCCCCTTGCTCAGATTCTTGCCAAGAATGTTATTAGCACAGCACTCAATCGCCAGGACCTCTGATTAAAAAACTGTTGTTGTTCTGCCCAAGGCCAGGGATATGTTGCCAACCCTGATCTCTCATCCTTCCAACTTCCATCGGTGTAATAAACCAAGCATGCTCTGTAAAAGTTGAAGTTACACTGTTGCCAGTTTTATCTTCCTCCTATAGCCACTTGGTAAGGAATCTCGAAGTCGTATTCCTTTGTCATGAGGTCTGGTATACTTAGTTCCATGTCCATACTTTGGTAGTCCCTTACGATGGACAGGTGACCAGACTGCCTCTGTAGATTCAGCTCGCCTCTGCTTCCCATTTTTAGGGCAGATATGGCTGCACATTTCTTGAGCTCCAGCCCTAGTGGGAGCATGTCGAGTATTTCCTCCATTGCAGCTGTGGGGCCGGGCAGGATTTCATGGTCCCGATGATCCCTGAGCACGCTAACCTTTGCAGCTGCTGCAGTTTCCTGCCAGCTACTATCTGCTCTGCCTTAGGCCACCACACTAAGGCTGTGTATGTAACCATTGGTTTGACTATGGCTTCATAAGTCCAATGTATAAGTTTGGGACTTAGTCCCCATTTCTTCTCTCTCTACCTTTTTCTGTGGAAACGCCACCCTTGAATTCCTCCAACAGGTTGGGATGTATTCTAGGGCAAAGCTGCCCCTGAACAAAGCTATAATATGATTTATAAGGACCTCTAGTCCTTCTTGGATGAGAGCTGGGAATATTCCGTCCCCGCCTGGGGACTTGAAAGGGTCAAAAGATTTGACAGCCCACTTCACGACCTCCGGCTTGAACAGCTTACTTGAAAATCTTCTCGCCATTGCAATTTCCCTAGGCGATTTCCTATTCCAGGGTATCAGGTGTTGTCCTGTTGAATTGCCTAATGGGGTGTTCCCTGGGAAGTGTGTGTTCATGAGGACTTCAAGAGTCTCCTCCATTCCTGTTGTGTGACTCCCATCCTCCCCTTTTAATGTGCCAAGAGGATTATGCACATCTCTCTGAAGGGCTTTTTGCAGTCTGGCTGATTCTGGTAGGTGTTTAGCTTAACCTTTAACAAGTGCTCATCATAGCCACAAAAAATATGTGAAGTTAAATTTAGAATTTTGAATAATTAACATGAACGCGGATAAAACTAATCAATTAGAAACTTAACTACCTACACGTGATTCGTTCGTTATACTTGGTTAACAAAGTAAACGTGTCGAGAAAAATAGACTCTGTTGAACACCAGAGTTGATACGGGGTTTCTTAGATCAAATTAACGTAAGCCTGTCTGAGGGGTTAATAAATAAATTCTACGTATATCGTTCTGGCAACTTAAATGATTTTTCCGAAGTTGGTTAAAGACAAAAGGCGGTGTGCTTGTAGGTGAAAAAGTGTGCGGGGTGCGCGCCACTACGGCACAATAAAATAAAAATGATAAAACTTCTCCAAATATGAGAATAAACAAAATAAACTCGGTAGCACACTAACCTGACTCTAACTTAGGACTCTACCAGGGACGGGGAAAATCTTTGACTGACCAGAATTTAGGAATATACTGTTGGTTTGTTCTCCAAACAGCAAACGTATCGTCAAGTCGATAGCGGGTAGGCAACTGAGGTCTGCTCTTCTGGCCCTTCTTCGCCATTGCCCCTGGCGGTGGGGTAGCTAACTAGCGTCCTTCTCACTACGATGACGAAGAACCTCTCTCAGCCTGCCCCTTCGATGCCGTTGTCAATGCGAGCGCGGTTTACCCCGAACGTAAAAAATTAAAATAACTTTAAACGCAACTTTTAAAATCTGATTTTAACCCCTTGACGGGTTTTGGGTCGTTACAAAATTAATTTTGGATGTATTAGATTTACATCTAAACCTCTAAAACCTATATCCTGTAATCTAACAACAGTCTGTGACAACTTTATATGAAGTTGGTACTATGCAAAGTACATTACTCATAATTACAGAGGAAGACATTTACCGCATGACAAGACAAGGTCTCCTGACTGTGACTCCTGCGTAGATCCAGCACAAGTAGAGTACGCTCCTGCGATGGTCTGGGTACTGGGTCAGGAGTAACACATCTATGGAACAGTTTCAAGCATAAGTTACAGAAAACCAATTGTAAGGTAAGAATAAAATTTAAAATAGGTTCTTTTGTTTTGCTTATAGAAGCTTTGAATTGTCACTTTAATATATTATGAGCCTTAGTTATTAGGTACTATTAGACACAAATGGTACTAACTGTTGTGCCACCAGCTAAGATATAGCAGCATTTAGTCAAAATGTACCTTGTCTGTATTGTTTTGATAATATTTTATGTTTGATTTAATAATATTAGGCCTCTCACATACATTAGATAGGCCTAAATGAAGAGTCGGTAGCGTCGCGGACTTCGGGCCCAAGGCAGTGATGTTGAGGGTTCGGATACTGGGCACTGCCATGCACTGCCACTACTTTTTATCAATAGAGTTCACCCTTGTACTGTACCCACTCACCCCTTGCTTTGCTGGATATGTTCCATGCTCAGATCTGTAGTCTATGTGTACAGGCAAATGCAAGGTTAAAGAGGCTGCCAACCTCTTAAAAAAAAACTGGGACTATACAGTGTGGCTGAAAAGTAACTTGCACCCCCCACTTAACATTTTTAACCGACTTCCCCACTACCAACAAAAGGAGGAGGTTCTCAATTTGTTTGTGGCGATGTTTTTTTTTTTCTATGTATGTTCACCAATTGCTCTGTGATTCTTTTACCGATCAGTGTGGTTCCACCACCAAAATAACCAGGAGAGTTTCTATTTGGTACCTTATATATTATGTTTAAGTATAATATTTGTTTCGGTGAAAAATTCTGAAAACCTTAAATATTCAACATTTATTTTGTTTACATTTGTGCAGAGAAGGCAATAAATAATAATAACATTCCTACAGCTGTTAGTTGAAACCATTTAAATGAAGCTACAGACAATTCTTCATGAAACAGTTGCTTCATATTGAGCAATAAACTATTTCTTGCCATGGAGCCTAAATTAATTACATTGAGAAAAATGCATTTTGTTTTGGTTACTATAAAAAATGTATTTTAACGTTTGACCTGATTTGTGTATACAGTAATTCTGTTTTTAGTATTGAATATTCTGACTTACAAAAACATATATGTTTCTGTGAATAGCTGTATGATATTGACAAATAAAGGTGTATTATGAAAACCAAAGCATTCGTAAAACAGGTCTAAATATAAATTAAATGCAATTATTCCTTACACGACCTAAGAAGTGTGACAGTGCATAATCGTCAATTGTCTTAAAAGTGTTAAATATTTTAATTACTAAACACGCATTTGCAGATGTGGAATGTTTATTAATATTCTCTACCCAGTTACTATAACATATCAATACTATTATGCCTGCTTCGGAAAGTCCTAGAGGAAGATGATTTGCAATTTCGACTAGGCTATATCTTGAGCAAACAAAACCCCCTACATGACTTACACCAATAATGGACAACTCTTTCTTTCTTAAGGAATATCTAAAAATGTTTATTTTCATACCCATTGATTATGTAACCTGAACAGGTGACTCAAGCAGTTTTAAAATAATTATTGTTCTGTGGAACTTTTGATTGTTTCAAACAGTTTTGCTTATCAAAAAACCTCAAGTAATTAATATATAAAAAATTATACAGTCACTAAAAATCATGAAATAATTTATTTTTTTAAAAAAATACAACCGACTTCAAACGCTCTAAAAAGAATGAAATAATTTCAATCAAGTAAACTTTTGTATTAGGCAAGCTCACGTATTTCAAGTCGGCGCGGCTCAAACTGCAAATATGATTGAAATTAAATATTGTGTGTGTATTTTGAAAATCAATAAATTGTAGCTGGATAACATAAATATATAAAAAAAATATACTGAACTGTTTTGTTTATATATTAAAGGAAATATTTTCTTGTATTTTATGTTTACTTCAGAATAAATGCATTATGAAAATAACACACACAAATGTTCTATATGAATAGGAAAATAATTTAGTTTGATATTATGATAGGGAAAAGAAGCTAGTTTAGTATTAAAACGTTACTTTTCCAAGTTAGAAACATTTAAATGCTTTATAATCTTTTTAAAGATACTCGTTAATACCACTATAATGCCGATCTCTGATTACGGTAATAAAATAACACTTAACGCATAACTATGAAAAAGACATGCAGATTAACACCTTTAGTTATAGATAGTCACCTGCAATATGGACACCCTCTTTCAATTTTGTATCAAAAATCATCATAGAGCCGCGCTGACTTAAAATACGTGAGCTTGCCTAATACAAAAGATTACTTGATTGAAAGTATTTCATTCTTTTTAGAGCGTTTGAAGTCGGTTGTATTTTTTTACAAAAATAAATTATAACTATTTGAGATATTTGAAATCGGTTTGCGGCAAACTTCTTAGATATAGGAGGGGGGCTACAATAATGATGGTTAATTATTTTTATGTTACCCTTAGGGGTAGGGGGTAGCTCCAAATTTTCAAATGGGAAGTTTAGCCATGTTTCATATCATTTGACTTGTCTTGATGAAACTAAACAACTGACTCAAAGAAAATTAAAATCGAACCACTAATAACAAAATGGCAACTAAATTTACTTTAAACAAACCGCCTTTAGCAGCATTGTATTGTGAAAATAAAAAAAAAATAATAATTATAATTATTTTAACAACTTTAAATTTATATCAAGGCAACATTTTTTCTAGTTCAGATCATTGTTAATAAGTCCTGCTTGGATAGTAAACAGTCCCTGGAAAATCCCCAACTCCACATAACTGCTCAACTGCTGTTACAGTATTTGCAATCTCTGTCTGTTTTAGGGTGAATCAATTAAGTGTGCCATTTTGTTAGTATTCCGATTTTGATTTACTTTATGCCAACTGTTTGGTTTCATCAAGACCTATAAAATTATATGAAAGTTGACTATGTAGCCTTTCATATCTGAGAAGGTTATCGCAAACTGATTTCAAATATCTCAAAAAGTTAAAAAGTACCCAAGGAGGGTACTTTTCAGCCACCCTGTATATGAAACAATGGAACGAAACATTCCTTTCCCTTAATAAAGTTGTTGTCAGTTTTACAATAAAACCGAAAGTAGTTGAGTTGAGACTTAGGCAATTTGTGCTGCAGCCAATCACTGATTTCTGTTGTATACTCCAACTTTTTAAACAAGCAAAACTGAATGTTAAATTTATTGTAAACTATACCACTTTTTAAGGCACACAAACTATCGGAGGATTAAAATCAAAGAGGGGAAATTATATAATTTGTTGTGGAGTCAATCTCCGTAGCACAGCAAGGATTTAAATGTCCCGCCTAGTCTCGACCCCAGAGCTGCTCGCGCATGCGCAGGGAGCAGGTGAGCAAAAGGAATGACCAAACGCTCTGTCGTGTGTCTGGTGCCGCCAAGAATGGATCTGTAAATTAGTGGGAAACGGGGGGACGCCCCCTTGAGGTATTGTGTCGTAGTGTTAGTACTTTATAATATGTAATTTCAGGTCATGGTATCAATTCACTATATCATTCATTCCATTATTTATTATTCGTCATTAAATCAAATATTAGTTCACGTTGTGTCCAGTCAACTCATACAGTAATTATTTCATAAGTTGAACAATGTACATATTTCTGTGATATAAATGCATTAATTAATCAAACAATCATCAAAGCTGGCTATTAGAGCCTGTGAATTGCGGTAAATTGTCTCCTCTGCATTAATAAATGTGTTCAGTTAACGTTTCCAGCAAGAACGATTTGGTGTGGATCTCGAATCACATGACCAGGTCACCAAAATGTGGCACCATTACGCCACATTGTACTGAAGCACACTATGAGTGGCTCATTCAACTCTCCAAATCTTATGCAAGAGCTGTCTAACAAACAAATCCATCCTCTCTCGCATTAAAACTTTTGCACGGTTTTTAAAGAAATTCCATTTGAGCAAGGTTTTTTTTTATAAGGACGCTAGACACGAGCCCGGCTTGTTTTTCACATTACTTCAGGCTAGACTTGGTGTTTGCAGCAATATCACTTATACAATCACTCAAACTGGCACACTCAACTGGCTGGGTAGCTGAGTGGTTATAGTGCTCACCTACTAATCAAAAGGTCGCCGGTTCGATCCTGAGAAAAGTCAGTAGCTTTTTGATGGTTCGAAACTGGACCCAGCTGTTCCTGATCATTGGGCTTTAAATAAATGATCCTGGCTAATGAAAAAGCTGATCTTAGTCAGTAACAAAGCTACACAGATCATCTCACACCATTCTACTACGACAGCCTTCTGAGATCTGAGATACCAGAGGAGACCGTTTTAGTTGGGTACGCCGATGACGTCGCAGCCCCCATTGCTGCACGCAACGTTGAGCTAGCCCAACTGAAACTGAACCAAGTCATGCGCGTTGTAAACGCCTGGATGACTGATCATGGTCTGACACTCGCTCTGAGCAAGACAGAGATCGTCATCCTCACGAAAAAACGGATTGAAACCATCGTTCTGCTACGATTTGGAAACGTAGTTGTCCAAACCACGCGAACCGCCAAGTACCTTGTTGTCATGGTGGACAACAAGTTGAGCTGGGGGGACCAGATCTTCCGTACGGCGGACAAGGCTGCTAGGAGTGTCGCTGCTCTTAGTAGGCTTATGGCCAATGTCGGTGGTCCCCGGTCCAGCCGTAGAAGACTACTGATGTCTGCAGTCCAGTCCGTGCTTCTCTACGGTTCTGAGGTGTGGGCAAACGCGCTTAACAAGGAGGCGTATAGGTTGAGGCTCGCACGAGTGCAGCGTCAGGCGGCACTCAGGGTCGCTTCCGCGTACCGTACGGTGTCCGAACCGGCCGTTTTGGTGATCGCTGGAGTTATCCCAGTCAAACTCTTGGCAGCGGAGAGGAAGGCAATCTACCAGAGACAAGGCTACATCGGAAAGGACGCTGCAAGAACAGAAGAGCGCTTCCGCACTTTTCAGATGTGTTAAGAAAGCTGGGAAAGGGAGACTCGAGGACGTTGGACTGCCAGACTCATCAGGCAGGTCCAACCGTGGG